TATGGCCTCATCAGGATCCATGAGCTCTGGCTCGATCGATTCCTAAACTAACTAAACTAACTCTTTCGATCCACGGCACGCACCGATGCCTGGGTCCGCTCGCGACTTCGCCTCGCCCGATCCCACAGCGTGCATCGACGCCAAAGATCAATGAGCTCTGTCGCATCCAAACTAAGCTGTCTCCATCCACGGCGCACACCGATGCTAGGGTTTGTCCCAAACTAACTCCCTCACCCGATCCCACGGCGCGCATCGATGCCGGGATCAGTAAGTTCTGTCTCAATCCAATCCCCGTGCCTAAACGCCTCGGCGGCACAATGACACCTTGGCTAAACAAAAATCCATCTCAGACTAAAAACATGCACACAACCCCGCCGACAACACAAAAAAACCCCCAGCCGGTTCTGCCCGAACCGTCCGGGGGCTTGGGGACTACACCCGCGGGTGCGCTCGCGTGCACCCGCCGACAAGACAAAAATCCCCTGGACGATTCTGCCCAAATCGCCCGGGGGCTCGAGGGCTCCTGTCGGGTTCATAAACCCAAGGTCCCTCGGGGACCGGCTTCCATGCCAAGGCTCGACTCAAGAGTCTAAAAAACAACAGGGCAAGGGGGCGGTCCAGCAACCGACCGGAAAGCCTGGCCCAAGAAGAGCAATGCTCGCTCATCAGATACTTTGGCCCACCTATGCGACCGGAGCGCTCAATTCAGGCTCTAGCCACCTCCGGGCGGCCTCTTCGATCGGAAGGCCTGCCTCGGGCCCTACTTTCGACTCCAAACCCACGTCTTTCCGACCAGGGTATGTAAGAACCCCGCTCGCCGCTCTTCTCCGACACAACCACCCTGACACAAATAGTATTGTAGGCACCGACATTTATCCCTATAGTATTGTAGGCGTCGTTGGACTCCCGTATGGCAAAAGCCCTCACATGCCTCTGGGCATCAATAGTGTTGTAGGTCCCGGATTTACCATACCTAGTAAACGTGGTGAGACTCCTCACATGCCTCTAGGCATCCAACAGTATTTTGCAGGTACCGACGTCAACCCTTCCAGAAGAAGACAACGTAACCTCCCACGTGCACCTGACGTTCCACAGTGACATCAACAGTGTTGTGGGCGCCTACCATTATTCAATCCTCATCGGCATGGGCAACAAGACTTAAAAACATCCATACCCTCTCCCTCTCACCTGTAAAGCCATCCCCTTCATCTATAAAAGAGGATGCACTCCCTCCAACAGAAAAGAGGGATTGAAGCTCAGTTCCTTTAGATTCATTAGTCTAATAGCTCACAACCACAGAACTGCCAAGTTCGGACCTCAAGCACACGCTCGAACACTTAGCTTATAGCTGAGTTCCCGTCGCTCTCGGCCCTTCCGACCAGAGCCGACCGGGCCTCTAGTACACCCTATCTTTCTCCTTCTCGTTTGTAACCCCACTGCAGACTTCGAGCACCTGGGCTCAGGAATAAAGTCACTGACCGACCCAAACTGGACGTAGGGCACGTTGCCTGAACCAGTATAAATCCTGTGTCATTGAGTGCTAGGCCACCTCCGATCACAACGTACAGTAAAACTATAATTATTCACTAGTTGGTTACTTTCTATACTGACAAAACCCGACTTCAAACCAAGCATTACAAAATATTATGCAACAGCATGACTGCACACTCACGGTCGTTGACCTATATTTGTTTTTTTAATTTAATAAAATTATTATTTTCCTAAATTCAAATGCCCACAAAATGCATAATTAATCATTTCCTCCTATTTCAAAAATATGCAAATTTTAGGGTGTTATAGTGCGTACTTCAGCTCGCGCGCGTGCCCAAGCCTTCACTCAGCAACCGAACGCGCTGCTCAAAGTGACCGGATGCTCCATCACTGGAGTCCGGTCATTTCCAGTAAGGTTCCAAAGACGATTTTTCACGACCGGACGCATCCGGTGACTCATGATCGGACCTAGGTCAGCGTCTGGTCAACACAGCCTCTCTCTGTTGCTTACGTCTACGTACATCACTAGGTGATCGGACACACCCCTGCGCATCCGGTCCCTCTCTCTCTTTAGCGTCCGGTTAAGGGACCGAGGGCGGCTTTCACTGCCCGTCACTGACCGGACGCGGGGTTAGAGTCCGGTCACTGCCCAAGGCAGAGTCCGGTCAGTACGAAACTTTTCCTTTTGACCCCGAACTTCACCACCCTTGATCAAATGTGCCAACCACCAAGTGTATCACCTTGTGCATATGTGTTAGCATATTTTCACAATTGTTTTCAAGGGTGTTAGCACTCCACTAGATCCTAAATGCATATGCAATGAGTTAGAGCATCTAGTGGTACTTTGATAACCGTATTTCAATATGAGTTTCACCCCTCTTAATAGTACGATTATCGATCCTAAATGTGATTACACTTGCTAAGTGTCTCGATCACTTAAACCGAAAAGCTTCCATCAATTTGTCTTTTGCCTTGAGCCTTTTATTTTTCTCTTTCTTCTTTTCTATGTCCAAGCACTTGATCATCACCATAGCATCACCATCATCATGTCATGATCTTCATTTGCTTCACTAGTTGGAGTAGTGCTACCTATCTCATAATCGCTTTAATAAACTAGGTTAGCACTTAGGGTTTCATCCATTCACCAAAACCAAACTAGTGCTTTCACCTCTTGCCGTTGTCGAAGAGGAGGAGGAAATAAATCCCCAAAACTAAGAAACTTGGCATGGAGAGAATATAACCCTAAAGACTCGATCTACTGGAAAAACTTATTAAAAACGATGGATCCCCACTCCCTTCGGCCTCCGGCAATATGCCAGAGGGGGAGGAAGGGGGACCAGTAGTGTTGGAGACGGGGAGCGGTGGTGGTGGTGGTGGCGGCGGCGCTCCGAGCCTGATTTGGTTGCGACTTGTATTTTAACAACTATAGTATGGCCTTTCTTCGTCCAACAAAAAATAGCGCGTCCAGACAATCGCCAGCAATGGGTGAGGGTGCCTAGTCCTAGGCATCCTAATTTCAGCGCTCTCTTCTAGACGGTGTGGTTGCCGGGTCACCTTGCCTCATGTCGATAAATTACATAATTTAATTTGCCTATTACATGCTAATAGCAAATTAAAATATAAATTACATCAAATGAACACTCCACAGGATGACACGCAGGCCGAATACAATAAACGAACAGCCTCAACCCAGCTGTAATAAATAGCGACACACAGGCCGCATCAAATATTACACACAGGTCATCACATATGATTTTGAGACCATACCATCACATCATTCTCTGCAAAAACGAGTTAGATGTTTCTACGAACGATGTTACGTTTTTTTAACACGCAGTTGGCTCCGCTAGCCGATGACGGATAGAACTGATATTTCGTATGCTATTACAAATTAACAAGAAGGCATTCTAGCCGGAATAGCCATACAGCTGTGTATCAACTGCTTCGCTACACGAATTCAAAACCTCGTGCTCAGTCGTGCGATGCTTGCGCACTGTTGTAAAGATGGCCGATTAGCCGGCCACATAATGAGAAAGCAAAAACTGAGTAAAACAATTCGATACATGCATAATGTTATCCATTAAAATGATTTATTCTAAGCCAACCGAATTAAAATAATCTAGATAAAAAACAACATAAGCACGGCTCTAGATACCAATGTTAGGATATTACGCGGATGGCTACTCGCTAGCATAAATACATTACCGCGTAAAAACATAACCACTTGCATATAGATGATCATAGATTATACCTTCCCGACACGCAGTGCAACAAAAGACTTGGTGAAATGTGCATAGTCGATGTAGTCGACGTTGGTAAAGTAGTTGTACCGTACGACGTTGTGCGCAACGCAGCAGTACCTCTACGGACGTCCACACGTATGGAGAGAAGCACGGCACAACGTAGTGTGCTAGCACTCAACGCTGCGCTAGATAGCAGCAGCAGTATCGGCGGCGTGCACAATGCACAGGAGCGTCGGCGTGGCTCTGTGGTGGGTGTTTGGGGTAGTTAGGGTTAATTCTCCCTTGGCCGGTGATTAGCATATATATAAAAGGATACGCTAATTGGGCCACATGGGCTGGATAGGCCCATATTGACTTGGGCATATTTCCAACAGGTCTCACATATAGGACGAATCCACGATGGGCTCGATGGTGGGCTCAGCATCAGGCCACAGTGGGCTTAAGATCCAGCCACGATGGGCATTTTTTATTTTATGATTAACAAAGGTGGACACTTTAACCTCCTGCCTCTACTTATTGTGATTAATAGTTGCACTTTGATAGAGGCAGACTCTGTGACCACCTCTGTAAAAGCTTTTTGACTGCCTCTCATCAAGATGTGTTTTGTAGTAGTGGAGATAAGGTAAGTTGTGGTTACATGATTATAATCTACCATATCCAGAGATAACCTAATATACTGCAACATCCTCCTGCAGTCACAACTTTCAGGTGGCGAGCTGACAGGAATGCAATAATTAAAAGGATACAAATTTACTTGTCATATACATATCTGATATGAACTTCTCTAAGTACACCCGGCGGCGCATAAATCAAGAAGACGGCACCCCGGGACTTGCTCTCCTGTCCTGGCCAACTTGTACGAGCAGCATTGCACGGTATATATATGAGTAAAGATTTTCACTAATAACTTGCTAGATTTTAATTACATATACACGATCAACGAAATAAATTTGCTGAGGGACCAGAGAAGACGATCTAGATCTTCTTCTTGAAGCCCTCCCTTGCAGATACAGATGAAGCTTTGCGCCCCCAAAAGGTCATACTACTCGCATAGCATCAAGAGCAATCAGCCTTACAGCAGGTATCCTTCTCCCGCACCAGAATGACTGCTCATGATGTTATGTTTCCCAGCAACCATGCACCACCCTTGTGATGATTCTTAGAGCTCTCTACCTGTGGCCTCATGAACATATACTTGCACGAAACGAACAGCAGCGCTCGCCATCTAGACGACCATGCATGCATGCTTCAGTGGTGGTGAATGCTCTAGTGGAGGATCCCACCCAGCGGCGCTGGGGCCCAGTAGTCAGCGGCGTTGTCCCCTCCAAAGTGCAACGTACATGACACCGGGACGAGGCACAGCCCCCGGCTCCTCAAGTCCTTCGTCTCGTCATTCACACCCTTGACGAATATATGTATATATATCAAGTGATCAGGTATTATATTTCTTCAGATTATTCCTAACATAGTAGTAAATGGGGAAAAAATCTACCAATGTTGAAGTAAAATGTGTTGGGAGCTGCATGCCTTGGGAAAAAAAATGCGCATGATCATTGTGTTATTTGTTTTTATGTAGAAAATAGTACGTACATATATAGCACTACCCTAGGTATATATATGTACTCGTGTATGCAGATGATTGAAAATAACTTGGAAGCAAAGCAAAGTGGGCTTGAATACCTGCTGCTCATCAGGCTGGACTGCAGGCTGCTGTGCTCCAGTGTTGTTATTATGGTTTAGAAGCTGCGCAAGGAACCAGACGCAAAAGATGTATATGAATGAAAAGTGGTTTAAGCAGGGCTGTAAAGGGCTATATTCTTACATCAGGAATCATGTGCAATCACAGGGGTTTCTAGGTTACCTGGCCGGGGTATTCTGGCAAGAGCCCTGCAGGGTTCCTTTCTCCAATTGGTCCCTATAAAAATGAATAATGAAAAAGAAAGCACTGTGTCACATGTCAAGTTGTCAACGTTGCACGTACAAGCGTGCGAGAAAAGCCGAAGAGAATAATCTCCCAGATGGGATAAATATGATTGAACCCATGAGGAGTACTGGCCCATATGATTGTCTAACGCATGCAATACAAGCTGACCTACCTAGGGTTGTGCAAGCTGAAACAAGCTTGTTATTAGGGCCGTATCAGTGCAGTTACTTCTTTTCTTCCTGTTTGGGATCTCCAAGTACATATCACTAACTTGTATTATTCTCCTTCTTTGCTAGTAAAAATGGTCCATTGTCTGTGCCCGTTCGTTAAAAGAAAAGTTATGGAGTTTGCAGATTTTGTCCCTCTCTCCCATCGTACCCATTCCCCTCCCTCACTCACCTCTCTCCCCCTAGTCTAGCATCCATTCAGCCGGCGCTCTCACTCCATCCACACACGCAGATCTCTCTCAATAATGCCGTCGTGGTCACGGAGCCCGGGGCCGCGACAGCGACGACGTGTGTGTGGTATACAAGCAAGGAGAGAGAATGTGGATAGGATAGTTTGGAGGACAAAGTGTGACTTTCCCATCGCTTAGCCCATTTAGCTCCTATTGGCTAGCTAACAGTTAGCTCACACTGGCTATTTTTTAGCCACACTTTTAGCGTATACCCATTTGGATACCTCACCGACAAAATTTTAGCAGCTAGCAGTTAGCCAGTGATATCCAAACATGCCCTTCATTAGTGAGATAAATCTGAACCTAATGATTTGAAATATGGCTTTGTGGTGATGCTCTATATGTTAAAAAAATTTTAGATAGCTGTCTATATGTTATGTTAATAAGTAATTAAGGAAAAGGTACATTTTCCATTGGTACGATATTTTTTCCATAGTGATGTATGAAGCTTTTTCTTATGGGATAGGCAACATCACAAACAATATAATGATTAGTTTTTCTAGTGCATATGTAAAATAATTAGCTTTTTCATAATGATAACGTGGCTTCAAATTCCTCAAATGATTATGGATTTGCTTGTACCCCTAGACTAAGTTCATTGTATGCTCTAATAATGTGAAATCAGTTACAAATTCCACAAATCTACAATGTCAAACAAAACACTAAACAGTCGGTGACATGTTGTGTGTTTAGTATATTCATACTAAACGCCGTTTAAATGGTCTAAGCAGCCCTGCATGACTATTGTTTGAAGGAATATAAAGTCCTGCAAAATAATATTTGTAGAACTAAACCTACAAATGAATGTCAAAGAAATTCAGATATATATGATCAATCTTTTCTTACTTGAAAAAAAGCATGACATTGGTTTAGGTGTCAGTTGTCATATATATGGGCCTTTATTTCATAGCACCTATTTTCTCATAGTCAACTCACATCATAAGTATTTTTAATGGAATAACAAAACACTATATCAATAACTTTAGAAACTCTGTTCGTAAGTACACAATTCAGATAACTAATATTGCATCATTTTCCATTCTATAACCATTCATAAATTTTTCAGTGTTCTTCAAGTAGCACACCCACTTTTGTTCAAGAAATTAACAAACTAATTAAAATTACAAATCTAGCTTTGAATAAAAGTTAAGGTAAATATTTATCATTGTTAGTTCCTCAAAAATTAGTATAAACATATATGTTTTATAGCGAGACGACAACACATAATTCTCATACATATTAGAACCATAGAAATATTTAGACCATAAATTCTTATATATTGCATAGCGTGGTGGTTGTTTGTTAACCTCAGTTTTGTAAAGACTATAGTGTGTATATTTCAGAGAAAAATAAAAATTCAAACAAGCTTAAAAGTTACTTTAGTTTTATGCATGTTTTATTGCAAATTTGTTATTTGTTAATCGGCTTATTAGTACATTCCACTGTTGAGGACACGTGAGCTCTTATTACATGCAGTCAATAATCTAACACAGACACGTATTTATCAAGGAGTTAATATTGCAAAATATTAATCATAGTTTTATTTACAGCGAACACAAACTCGCAGAACTTCTTATTTATGTTTACTGTTTGTTGTGGAAAAAATCTTTTTTTGTTCTATTACCTCGCACACATAATAAAGAGCCTAAAAGGTCTAAAGTCCTTTTGGACAAAGGTTAACAAAAGGATCAGTTCTACTGGAGCCTTGGTAAAAGGCTTCTTTAATTAGAATACCTTTGAAAGTATATTTTTGGGCAACCTTTGCTAAAGGTTTTGCTAAGGCGCTATTGTCCTCCCTACATACAAAGTGTGTCAAAGTCTAGATCGGCTAACAATTTCACAATACGAATGCACGTGGATAGGCATATTGTTAACCTCGCACGTAAGATTCCTTCCAACGTGCGCTCGAGTGTGTGCGTGTGTGCGCGTGAGAGACAGAGGGAGAGAGATGCATATGCAACATACATTTTGAATGGAGGTCCCATTGCCGTGGCCCATATAGGGGTAGCTGAGAGCCTGTCACAGAAGGAAAAACCACATGACACTCATGAGTCATGAGAGAGAGAGAGAGAGAGAGAGAGAGAGAGAGAGAGCATGCATATAGTCCAGTGCAGTCGTCCCTGAAACACAAGACGCTACGAGACAGAGCAGCGCATCGGTTGATTCATCTCGCTGCAGTTGCTGATTCTGGGTGCGCGCGCGCGCCCATGCAAAGCGATCAACTTTAACAGCGTGCTCTTGCACCCGTCCCTACCCTCCCCATGCATATTCTCTTTTTTGTTTCCCGCGCGCCCAGCTTTTTTTTCCTCTACCTCACAACCCCATGCGGTAACACCTGCTGCTATTGCTGCCACTGGCATGTGGGCCGGGATGGACAGCGTTGTGGCTTGTGGGTGAGCTATATATAAGCAGTGACAACAAGAAGGGTTTAATTTTTTTATTCTTTGTTCACCCATACTGCATGCTTCTGATGGTCCTAGCTAACTATATGACCATGACTTATGAATTTTTCCTTTCCAACATACACAAAGCACACGATGAGAGAGAGAGAGAGAGAGAGGGATTGGACCTCAATTTGACCCAGGAGGAATCTGATATAGCCAATGGTCTCTTGGAGCACAGACGCCGTGTCAGTCTGTAAAAAAGAGGCACGTGTGTCAGGGAAATGCTTTAGTTGGACACAACCCCTCGAGTGAAAGCAGGAGCAAAACAAATTAAAAGCAGATGCATGCATGGCAACAACTATAGACAACTGCTACAACACAGCATCGTCACCTTGTACCCTGTAGTATATATTACCCATGCATCTATCTACTGTGGATCGGGGCGAGGAAACACGTACATGCACTCAGATCCGGCGACTGATCTACCGTATCTTTCTTTCTAGCCTACTACTAGTCACAAGCTGCTGCTGGCTCTCTACATAATATCAATCGATCCATGTTATGTTGTGTATATTTTTTTGTTCTACTGACCTTGCCAAACGGGGAAACAATCTGGTGAAGAGCAGTTATTCTATCACCCAATCTCTCCTTCCTCACCTGCAACAAACCATAAGTAGTCACAGTCATAAGTAAGTAATAAGTTAATAGCTAGGATGCATGTAATTATTCCTAACAATGGTATAAGTTATCACTATTATATCATATGTCAATTTCTCAGTGTACTTGCTGCACGAATTTCCAGAATATGATAGAGAGAGAGAGAGAGAGAGAGAGATGCACACAAAAGATCTATAGGCTGGGTTCGGGTTATGGAAAGCAGTGAGATGAAGAAGAAACCTTTAGAGTAGATTGTGCAGAAGAGGAGGCCTGAACCCTAGGCTTCTTGTTGGCTGAACCTGTTGCAGTGCTGTTGCACTAGTAGCAGAGAAAGACAAAGAAACAAAGCAAGAACAATCATGATCCCATTTCAACCTGTCCCATGAAACAACACACTAACTCTTCGTAAAGTGAATTCATTCCCAGTGATTCTACCTCTCAATACGGACAAGCTATGGATCATGTACCAGTACCATATAAATAAAACAGTAGGTCTCAAGAAATATACTCAATCCGTCTAGTAAAGAATGCAATTCTAACAATAGTATTAAGTCAAACAATCTTCACTTTGACCAAACCTAGAATTGAATTTTCCCCAAAATTATAAGGAAGCACCAATTTATGATATCAATAGGGCATCCTTAATTAGATCTATCATGGAATATATTTGAACACTATACCTATTTGAAATCGTAAATGTTGATACTGTTTACTTTAACCAAACCTAGAATTACATTTTTTTGGTGTGTGTGTATGTGGGGGTAGGGGTGGGGGAGGATGGAGGGAGTAGTAAATAAGTAGTAACAAAAAGAGGTAGCCCTTTCAATGGGTGCATGCCGTAACACTCTGACCAAGAGATTATGAAACAGCGTGCATGAAAATACCACTTCTCAGCTTGGTTGACTAAAGTGGATTTGCATATGACATGGAAACATGCATGTCTGTACTACTACCAAATAAAGCATCTTTTCATGAAAAGAAGAACAGTACTACTGCCTTTAGTTTGTTTCAGTTAATGGAAGATAGAATGCACACTCACCAAGAAATCTTATTGACAGCATAGCCTCCCCATCCTAGTCGGTTATCGATGAGACAACATAATCATGGTATATCTTTCTATCTCAAACTAAGATGAACGGAGTGCCTTTTGAAAGTACCATCTCTTCCCGAGGGCGATCAAGATGAAACATTGTGTAATAAAGTAGGGAAAACGAATGCATTCCATGTCAATCGCAGCTTAAATAATTAATGTTCATCTAACTACATGTTTTCCATATGCATGAACCAAGTAAATTCTTTGACAAATTAATAATCTGAAAAAAAATTCAGCTATGTACAATCTGCGGATGGTAGAAGCTGGAACTTGGTTCCCTTAACTAAAAAAAATAATGTGTAAACAACAAAGTGATTTGGAAAGAACAAATCGGAAAACAGCCTACGTAGTAGCAACAAATAACTTTCACGGATTATATATCAAGGTACCTCATCTCACCTCAGATGAGTTATCAGAGTTATGATGGTGGTTCTTTAGCTCCGGCGTTGGCGCGCTGTTTGAGAAGTCGAGCATGTTGCTGCCGAGGCTGGTGGTGATGCAAGACCTAGGAGACGAGGCCAGGAGCATCTGGCTCAGCTGGGACTTGCTGGCCCCTCCTGGCGCCGGCATATCATGGTCACCAGCAGCGAGGTGGCTGTGGCTCCCATAGAAGTTGTACGGAGGTTGAGGCATGGCGGAGCCCTCCTCCTTCATACCACCACCCACCATGCATGCACTTGCAGTTGCAGTGTGATCCCCCCAATTCTCTATGCCCTTTGACAGGAGAGCTGCGGTGGTGGCGCTGTATCGCTCATGGTCTCCTCCAACTAACCCCCCTCTGCACATGTAGTTATAGATGAGTACAGACAGATGAGTCCATGGAGATAAGAACAACTGCAAGTTAGCATCTGAGTAAAATGAACATGAACAAGATGATTAGAGACAGGAAGGTAGATTAACACTGGGAAAGGCTTGATCCGCTATAGGACAAAGTGGGTTAACACCACTTTATTCCTTCACCTAGAGCTACTGTTAAGTATGGGGAGAACTGATTTTTACATGGATTGTGGAGGTTTGTAATTGTGGATCTGTTGCATGAATAAATCTTAAAGATTTAACCAGTAAAGAACGAATGAGGGCCGCCGGGGAGGGGAAGAGATTCAAGACAGAGATAGACAAATAAGGGAGAGAGAGGTGTTTACAGAAGCATCTGGCTCCATGATTCCGGCATGTGGTTCTCTTGACCGCTGCCGCCGTCATGCAGACTTGGAAGAGAACCAGCTGCGCCACCGTTCATATGACCTAGCTGGCCTGAAGAGGTACCGGCGTGCAGAAACTGCTGGGAGAAGAGCACCGATGGAGACGACAAGGAGGGCACGTTGGGGGAGGCCTCTTGATCCTCTTGGCAAGACTTGAAGCTGCTCATGATATTGCTGCTGGCGGTGGTACTACCGCCACCGCCAGTACCGCTCCAGATCATCTGCTGGACAAGGGAGGTCTGGAATTCTCCTCTGTTCATCACCGGCCGCGCGCTAGAGAGAGACGAGAGCTAGAGATGAGCTCTCTTGCTTCAACAAATGCTAGCTAGCTTGCTATCTCTTCCTTGCCAGGCTCTCTCCTCTTGCACTCTTGGTGTGGAAGTAGTCTCAGGTCAATCTTAAAGGGGCCAGCGTCGTTCGTCGCAATTTCCTTGAGGGAGATGGGCTGGGCATATATCTTCCTCCTCCTATAGAGAGGGAGAGGGAGAGGGAGAGAGAAAGAATGGAACACAACAATACCAAACAGAAGAAGAGGTGAGAGAGGAGCTGAATAAAAAAGCATAGGCGCTGTTCGGAGAGGAATCTGGGCTTTGTTTTGTTTTGTTTTCCGCTTCCTTTTGCTTCACTCCTTTATTTGTGAACTTTCCCATGCTTTCCTCCAGCCCCTTTCTCTCTCTCTACACACCCCCTCCTCTCTCATTCTTCTTTTGTATGTTATACACACACAATTATATTTTTTCTTTATTTTCCTTCTCCTTGTCACTTTTGCTTTATCACAATAAAGTGATGTAGGAAAGGTATGTGAGACACAGCATTTGGGACCAAAAGGAGCGGTTTAAAGACGTGGCGGTGCTTGTTAATCTATATCATCTCATCCAGCTTGTGTATGTTACCACCTTTCAAACCACCAATTAAGTAGACGCCACCTGATAATTGCAGTTGCAGTGATGAATGAATGAAGCTTAGACCAGCTAGCTCACACGTACAAAGATGTAACCTCCACAACACGCACATACACAGGAACAGTAGTGCACGCATGCACGCACAGAAATAAAGTGGGATCCGATCGGTTTTGGCTTCATATATTCCTCCTTCTGGCGTTTGTTACAAGTATCGGGAAACCGAAATGATGTGCTTATCTTGGTCACTTTTTCAAGAAAAATAAGTGTACAGTATATATATGCCACATATGTAAATAAAGCTATTTTGAAAGATCTGTCTAAACCGAAGCAGCTATACCTTTTATTACATTTTGTCATATCAGCTAAAAAGTGATATGCCAAAGGTCGTAATTGACTACCATACCTTTGCACAAGAACAGATATTCATTTATTATATCTGCTAATCTATATTTAAATTTGTTTATTGGTTCAAAATGTGAACTTTGTAATGGATTATTACTCCACCAATCCAAAAATATAAGGATTTTTTATATGCTACTCCCACCATTCCAAATTAAAAGACGTTTGGCTTTTCTAGGTACATAGTTTTTTTTCTATGCACTTGGATATACATTATATCTAAATATATAGTAAAAGCAATTTAGACATCTTATAATTTGGAACACAGGGAGTACTAGGGACATGAGGGCATATTTCATTATTGATCAATTACTTCCGGCACGGATAAGCATTGTATTTGTGCCATCCATATTTCGATGCCAGCAATGCGATTTTGTTCGAGATCCCCTTCCCATCACTACTAGTTTGAAAGCTGGCAGTGATAGACCTCTCCCATCACCATCGATTATCCTCTGCCGGACAATTCTGGTAGTGATCGGGGTTTTTGTTAGAGTAAATAGGAATAATACCACATTGTCTACCCATGTGGGATGTTAGTCCTATGCACCGTATATATAATCAGCCCAATGAGGCCCAATGCCATACAACAATTATCCTAGCAATCCTATTTTCTTACAAGGTATCACGAGTCTAGGTTTAGCTCCTAAACTTAGCCGCCGCTAGCTTCCACATCGCGCACCCCTGGGGAGAGAAATCTCCGTCGGGGCAGCGCCACCCCTTTAGGTTGGATTCTATTATTGATCCCGCTGCCACCCTAGTCATCGTTAAGCAGCAGATCGGGCCTTCTTGTGATGTCGTGTCACCTCATCACCCTCTCCATGCTCGATGTGGAGGATGCTAGGTGTCACCCCATCCCGCGCCGCAGTGGTGGTGGCCCAGGCTAGGTCAACCCCAAACCAAGCCGCCATGGTGGCGACAGGACAATCTATGCCCTCCTCGCGCAACCCACCGCCACTGTCGTCATTGTTGCCCCGGCATCCGCCTGATGTGTCAACGATGCTGCTGCTTGTTCCTACCGTGCACCCCACACCACCCCGCCCCGTCCAACACCTGCAGCTCGCACCACCACTCGGGATGAGCCATGCCAGGCCACACTATCGCCGGGCCTGCCTCGTCGCCCTCTGCCATCACCGGTTCTTATCTATTCCTACTTGTAGCTTTTATGTTTGCCCAATCACTAATCTGGATTGAGTCACCCACCACTCGTTGATCTCACACGTACCTACTCCGCACCACAACTATCGTCGAGACCCTCTCTGCTGGCCTCTTAGACATTAATGCATGGTGGGGTCCTCTACCTTGTACGCGCCCGGTATCGGAAACACCGACACGTGCTTTTGTCCCTGATGCGTTGCTAGGTCTAGCAAACCCAGCCTACTTCTCGGTTCAGGCGGCGACTACATAGACTTTGGCATCGACCCTCCCATTCCCACCCCGTTTACCTTGATTGCATCATCGCCTTTCGTCTACATCTTCAATAGCCCTGACTGCACTAATCTCGGCATCGTCCCCTTCCACGATGACTGCCTCGATGCGTCTCCGTCATCACCATGGCACCTCTTTGTGCCTGCGGTTTTATGTGGAGAAGCCTCGACATTGGCTACCTTGACCACTATGTTGACCATGGCTATCTCTAGCACGACATCCTCGACCACGGCTCTGTCGGTGCGGGACCCACGGGATACCCCGCAAGGAAGGGAGAAGATCTAGTCTAACTAGGATTCTTCCCCATGTAATCTTAGTAGTAGTATTATTCTGTAATCCAACTAGGAACTCTTATTGTAAACTGACTAGGATTCTGGCCTCCTGAATATATAAAGGAGGGCAGGGTTCCTAGAGAAGAGAATGGGAGAACACTTGACGATCAATCCAACGCAAAGGCTAATGCTGACTGGACGTAGGGCTATTACTCGATCACGGTCGAGGGCCCGAACTAGGATAAATCGACTGTCTCTTGTGTTTACCGTCAAGTTCCGCATACGTGAAAGCTCTAGTTTGGTTTTGGTAAATTGATGAAACCCTAAGTGCTAACCTAGTTCATCAAGTGATCATGAGATAGGTAGCACACTTCAAGTAGAGAAGCAAATGAAGATCATAACATGACAATGGTGATAGCATGGAGATGATCAAGGGCTTAAATTTGAAGAGAAGAAAGAGAAAAACAAAAAGCTCAAGGCAAAGGTATAACTTGTAGGAGCTATTTTATTTTGGTGATCAAGACACTTAGAGAGTGTGATCACATTTAGGTTTGATAGCCGTACTATTAAGAGGGGTGAAACTCGTATCGGAATGCGGTTATCAAAGTGCCACTAGATGCTCTAACTCATTGCATATGCATTTAGGATCTAGTGGAGTGCTGACACCCTTGATAATATTTGTGTAAATATGCTACCACAGGTGCATTCGGCGCTTTCGGGAAAATAAAATGTCTATTTTCTATTGCATCGGATGCAAAATTCTTGGCGGTTGGCACACTTGAGCAAGGGTGAAGAAGTAAGAGTTGGAATGGAGTTGATCGAAATGATCTTTGGCGCCGGTTGGCCGGATATTTGGAATCGCTCGCGACCGATGGTGACTCAGCTGGGTCGAGCGTTCACACATTTGACGAAAGGCTGCGTCGTCGGTCGAGGAGCGTCGAGCGACGCTGATGGCTAGGTTAGATTGAGCACCTCGTTCGGTCAAGGTGGCCGGACGGAGCGTCCGGTCGAAAAAACATGCCTCGGGGAGCTTACTGGAAATGACCGGACACTGGGGCTTCAGCGTCCGGTCAGTTTTACCAGAACGTCCGGTCAGCTTCGCAGCCGTTGAAATCTGACGAACAACGTTTGAAGGCGGTGACGCGTGGCGTCCATCAGGCGACCGGATCAACGCGTTTTCATTTGATTGGGGCTCTATTTAAGCCCCATGGCGGTTAATGGCTCATACTCTTGCACATTTTCATTGACATAGCAACCTTGTGAGCCTAGCTAAAGCCCTCCCACTCATCTACATCATTGATTCATCATCATAGTGAGATTGGGAGGAATCCAAGTGCATTGCTTGAGTGATTGCATCTAGAGGCATTTGGTGATTGTGTTTCGCTGCATGGATTTCGCTTGTTACTCTTGGTGGTTGCCGCCACCTAGGCGGCTTCGTGAGGATCGTTGAGTGGAGGAGGTGATTGTATATCACGTGGTGATTGTGAGGGTTCTTGACCTTTCCCGACGGAGCGCCAAAGGTACTCTAGTAAATTTTGTGGCTTGTGTGATCCTCATCTTGTGTTGGTTGTGCGGCACCCTATTGAGGGTTTGGCGAGTGATGCCAATCGGTAGTGAACCTCCAAGTGAGTGAAAGATTAGCGAGGACTAGCTTGCCGGCAAGCAAGTGAACCTCGGTAAAAATCATTGTGTTCATCATTTGATTCCGAGGTGATTGGTCTACATTGGTATTCATTATTGTGATTGATTGGTTCCTACCACTACATGGCGGTCAAAAACTAGTTATCAAGCTCTTTAGTGTAGCTAGTTGTGAGAGCTTGTTTGTTTGATTAGTGTTGCTCTTTAGTTAGTCTTTGAGAGCACACTAATTTAGCTAAGTGTCATAGCTATTGTGTGGACATACACTACTCGAAATAGAATTATGGTAGGTGGCTTGCATTTTAGTAGGCTAGTGCGAGTTCCCCCGCTTAAAATTGTTTAACACATTTTGTTAAGGGTTGTTGTAGAATTTTATTAGGCTATTCACCCCCCTCTAGCCATTAGGACCTTTCAATACAAGAATACAACTCGCCGGGTACTCTGGCGAGCTAGAGTCTTTTCAAGAAGCTTTCGGCAAATTTCCATCCGAGAGCTCGACGGACCTCGACAACATGATCTTCTCGACGAGATCAACCTTCATCTTCGGTTCGTGGATCTACGAGGCGGCGACGGCGATGGCAAGCT